GCAGAGCGGGCGGGGGAATACTTTGTTTGGATGATAAAAAAGATACTTTCCGAGCCAACCAACCGATTTGATTGTATTTTGGTGTACACTCTTAGCGAATTTTGTTGTTTACCCACAAAACGACGCGTGCAGCAACCGCTCATTCAAAACATTCAAAAAAATTCCGACGTACTTCCGTTGTTTCGTCGTCCGCGGCAAAAATTTTTGTGATTTGAAATTTCTTGACGACGCGCTCAGCAACGCAACCAACCGCTGGTCGATTGTTGATTCTTGTCGATATGGATACTTTTGTGGGAAATATCAACGGAAATTTCTGAATTCAGAAAAAAAAATCGACAACACTGCTCGTGTTGTTTACGGGTCCGCGCGATTGTGAGACTTTCAGGAAAAACTTGATGCCCATCGGGCAGTATGACCCTCAGAAATATACCGAAACATATCGTTTCGTTTATAAATATACCGTAAATATACTGACGCATTCCAGTTCTATTTTACATATTCCTCATTTTTGATCTTCCGTTCAATTTTACTAGCTATATAAAACATTAAACCATGCCCAGATAAATTTATACGATTAAAAAAGCAATTATCTAATTGACTGGCGCACTTTAAATAATTGCTTTTGTTGCATTTTGCGTAAAAAAGGTTTTAGCGAAAAGGGTCAAACAAAAAAAACGAAAAAGGATAGTCGTTCATATTTCTCAATTTAGAGATTCTGTTGAATAATTCTGGCTAATTAAAACCCTTAGTTTTGCCCACATTGATGAATAAATTTTCTACACAATTGGTTACTTTTTAGTCCTTGCTTTTAATTTATTTTGACTAAAACAAGGTTTAAACAAAATAGTTCAACAAAAAAACAGTCGCAATGTTGCTGGTATTTTATTAATACCCTATTGTATTAATTGTATACCCTATTGCGTCAATTTGATATGAAGATTAAACGTAATTTATAAAGACTTTTTCTCAAATTAATATGTTTTAGACATTTTCATGAATATTATTATTATATTTTATATATTTATCTCGATCCTGATATCTGTGATGACAAACATTTTCTCAAGTCTATAATATCATTTTCCCTAGGGTATGAAAATTAGTGTCGCCGGGAATCATTTTTGTCAACTGGTTATTAAGACAAATTCCTGGTTTTTGATCTTCCGTCGAATTTTACTAGCCATATAGATTTTCAGATTAACCCACATAAGTTTATATGATTTCTGAATCAATTTTGTTCAAGATTAAGTACTTTTAAGTACTCGCATGTATTTTAAAACAAAAACACGGTTTAAACAAAATAACATAATAAACAATGTTGTGACGTCAATGTTGCCGGGATTTGCAAATTAATTTCTTGTCAAGCAGAGTATGGGCATTTGTATACCCTATTTCGTTATTATTATATACAAATGCAGCTTTATAGCTTATACTGCAAGCTGCTTGTCTTAGATTGCATTTTGTTGTCCTATTCATGCTTAAGGTGATGTATATAGATGTATATATGTATATTCTGATCCCTGTACCATATCTTGATCCCTGTAAGAAGACCACTAAATGCAAAATATCGTTCAAAGCAGGGAGTGACTAGTTTCTGCATTATTTAGAGCCTGGGATGACAAACATTTTCTCAGTTCTATAACATTCTTTCCTAGGGTATGCATGTTTTTTTCATGTTGCCGCAACATAGGCAGAATTGCAAAACATGTTGCTGCAACATTATGTTTTGCTGCACATTTTCGACGATATTCATTGGCCGAAAGCAAAAATCGCGTGAGTTCATTTTTAACCGTTCGTAATTTGGCGGTACATTTAAAAGAACTAAGTTTATATGGATATATTATATGTGGTGTATATCAATTACATTTTTCAACTAACTTATCAGCACCAATTTTAGTAGTTCAGTTCAAGTGATCTACATGGCAAGTACCCTGCTGAATGCCAATAGCAACCCCAATAATTGGGGCATATTGACCCTAAGTCGATATCCAAGTACAGTAATTTAAGTACATCATTTAAAAGTATGGAATGGGACTAATTTTGTCTACCGGCTATTACCGGTACCGGCCGATTCTAATAAATACCAAAATATACGGTCTTATTTTCAACATATTGCTCGTTTTTGATCTTCCGTTGAATATTATTAGCTAGATGGAACATTTAGTCATGCCCACATAGTTTTGTACGATTGATGAATCAATTTTCTACTTAACTGGCTTAATTTTAACACTTGCTTTTATTGGATTTCTATATACCGTTAAAAATGAAATTTAATGTGTTGATTAAATCGACAAAATATACCATTATATATCGATATACCGTAAATATACCGTCGGTTCAATTTTGACTTCTGCACGCTAACTACATATTTGCTACGTATTAATTTGTTATGTAACTATCAAAAGCGGCACCTGAAAGAAATGTTTACGTTTCAAAAATTTGTAACCATTTTTTTTCATATAAGCCAACCAAAAAATTGAGTTTTTGATGGCAAACGATCAGGAATTCGATGCTGATCACGAGTTAGTATTCGATGTGGCCTGGGCCTGGTCTCTAAACTGCATTTCTACATGGTTTCTACATTGGTTCATTGACAACAGATGACTCCATTACGTGTTAAAATATACTGAAAACTATGAAAAGTATAAAATTTGCGAGGAGTTTGAGCTAGAGGTGGTGGCTTATGATTTTTGGAATGGGACTAATTTTGTCTACCGGCTATTACCGGTACCGGCCGATTCTAATAAATACCAAAATATACGGTCTTATTTTCAACATATTGCTCGTTTTTGATCTTCCGTTGAATATTATTAGCTAGATGGAACATTTAGTCATGCCCACATAGTTTTGTACGATTGATGAATCAATTTTCTACTTAACTGGCTTAATTTTAACACTTGCTTTTATTGGATTTCTATATACCGTTAAAAATGAAATTTAATGTGTTGATTAAATCGACAAAATATACCATTATATATCGATATACCGTAAATATACCGTCGGTTCAATTTTGACTTCTGCACGCTAACTACATATTTGCTACGTATTAATTTGTTATGTAACTATCAAAAGCGGCACCTGAAAGAAATGTTTACGTTTCAAAAATTTGTAACCATTTTTTTTCATATAAGCCAACCAAAAAATTGAGTTTTTGATGGCAAACGATCAGGAATTCGATGCTGATCACGAGTTAGTATTCGATGTGGCCTGGGCCTGGTCTCTAAACTGCATTTCTACATGGTTTCTACATTGGTTCATTGACAACAGATGACTCCATTACGTGTTAAAATATACTGAAAACTATGAAAAGTATAAAATTTGCGAGGAGTTTGAGCTAGAGGTGGTGGCTTATGATTTTTGGTCACACTAAACACTAATTGGAAATTTTATTTATCCCAATTTCTGGAAAACGGCATTGGAATTTTCCCAACTGTTGCCCAACGGTATGTTGGATGTTATTTTAAGCTAAATAAATTAGGCGCGAGAAAAAACGCGATGCAACACACAACCTCACCTCGTTTTTCTTACATGCCCGCAGTCGTTTTCTAGCAACATGCTGGATGTTGCGAATTTATTACTTATAAATTTATAGCATGTTCCGCAACATGGCCGCGGGATGGTGCAACATTTTTCATACCCTAGGGAAAGGTTAGTTCTAAAATTAAGGAAATGGTTGTCATCTAATGTCATCTCTGTTTTAAAGGTATTTCAACGATATTTTGAAGTATTTGGTCTTCTTACCGATTGTTCATTGGATTCATTGGATTAGATCCACCGTGAACATAGAATAGAAACTCTTCCTTCTCTCGGGAAAAATTTGAAATAAAGGAAAATATATGCATCTCTATGAATTTTTGGTGGTCCTGAAAAGAACCGATTTGATCATGGATTAGCGCCTATCCATGTAAGAACGGATCCGGTTTGGGAGTAGCCACTTCCATCACTCCCAACACAATGGCCATAAACCTACGTGGACTTCTCTGGTACTCCTCCCCGCAGATGCTGTTTGCAGGCATAACACCCAGATGGTGCAGCACTCATGGGTGCCGTTCACCTTTGCCAACATATTGGCGGGGCACTCGTCGGTGGGCATATCCCCGGTGCCGAATGTTGCCCATGACATCCGCCGATCCAAAGGCCTGCGAAATAATTGATTAATATACCAAAATTATTCATTATTATTTATTATAATGAATAGTACCGTACTAGTTGCATCCATCCAAGTTGCACATTCCACTTCAATTGCAGCTCCTCGTATATCAATACGAAAGGAGCGTTTCCACAATGCTGGAGTTTGGAGATCAAGTTGATCACTCCAACGTTCAGTTCATGGGAATGGAATGCCCCTCTCGAGTGCCATGATTCTCTGCATGCAAAAGTTCCTCCTAGCAATTCGTGAAACTGGTAAGAATTCTAGCAAATTTCGGCTCTATATATACCAATTTCTCCTTTCCTAACTCTTCTTCTTGACAATGTCATTACTTCTTTATTTCTTTACCTTTTGTAAAACTAAATTAAAAGTTTTACTTTTACCTACCATTTGGAATGTTCGAGCAAAATGTCAATAGGAGATGGCAGCAAACAGTTTCCTGCAAAGTCTCAAGAATCTTAAGACGAGAATCCTGTTCATCTCGTCGCAGACAACGCTCCCCGAGACCCAGACCCTGCCCTATAACCCTCTCTGGTAGAGCATGTTTGAAACCACGAGTAGGCGTTACCCGGGGCATAGCCCCGGCAGGTTTGCAAAGTCTGCATCCCTGGGCACATGGCAATGTCAACTTGGACATTGGCCACCACTCAGAGTTTTCTTCTCTTCGCCCGCCTATCATTAGACAGCATCCTTTCTACGGTCCCGGTCCTGAACGTACCACGGGGAGAGTATAGTCGCACTTCCACCAGCGTGTACAGTTACGGCGGATCCTATGGCTGCATCCCGATGGCTGACCGTTGGCCATCTTTTACTAGTATTGGGATCGAACTACCTTTTTTATTGGTATCGAAAAGACTACATCTTCGTGTATAAATAAATGGCAACAATCAGCCCGTAGAGACCCAGGACTTCGGCGAAGATGAGGATCAGTATCATGCCGACAAAGAGTCGCGGCTGCTGGCCCGTACCCCTGACGCCTGCATCCCCAGCAATGCCGATGGCGATTCCTGCAGCGAGTCCGGGCAGGCCCACGGACAGGCCGGCGCCGAGGTGGATGAAGCCGTCGTGAATGGTGTAGCTATCGCTGATGGAGCCCGCGATCAGCACGGAGACGACCAAGCCGTAGATGGCGATAATACCGGCCATAACCACCGGTATGAGAGACTTCATCAGCATCTCTGGCTTGGACACAGCCATTTGGGCAATACCCATGCCGGACACTGCCGTACCGTAAGCAGCTCCAAGGGCGGGGAATATAATGGCAGTCGCTGCCCCAACACCCCCTAGAAAGATCGCATATGGCGGGCTGGTCTCTTGTAGTCCAGCGTCGTACATTATCTAAAACCTTTTGTATCAGATAATAGGTATACGTACAATACACGATTCTACAGATGTTGACAGATATTCCAAGGCACTTTCTTTTCATGGGATTCCTGAAGGGATTTCTCCCTGCAATGTACCGCGATCAAAGGCTAAGGTTGAAAAAGGTTGATCAAGTTAGAGGTTCGAAATATAGGTGTTGGTTGTTTCGGATATACAGGATGCGCCATCTTTGGGTGCGCTATGTGAATACTTGAATAACTTTGAAAAAAAACAAACAAATTTCAAATATGAGGTATTCAGTCTAATTTTTGAAACTGGTGTCACATTGCTTTTCACATAACCCCAAAAAAAGTCCAGAGGCGTTAAATCTGAAGACCTCGGCGGCCAATCAATATTTCCATTTTTTGATACCAGAGCTCCAGGGAAGTTTCGTTGTCTTGTTGAGAGCCTATCCTCTCTCTTTCACACCCATTTCGACGATATGCACATTGAGTTAGCAAACTGAACGACTATTTTCAATGTACTCCAACACGTTGTTCCGGTGTAAAATTGTTTCCAAAGCTGGTCTACTGAAGTCTAGCGGTTCAAAAAAGTCAAAGTTATTCGGTGGCGCACCCTGTATGTATATTCCAGAACTCAGCCTACAGACCGGTCTGTGTTCCACAAAAATATATCGTGATTATACTCGTACTGTGGTTTTAGCTCAGGAGCTCAAAACTGGTCAACAACAGCTGATCATGCTGGAATTCTGAGTGTTAATGAACCATATTTTGGTCAGAAGTTGTTGTAGAATTGTCCTTCAAATACGGAATGTACTTGGCTACCACAATCCGAGCTCTCACACATGGCCCACCTCAACTCATTTCTTAGCCACCCAAATTGTTGAATCAAGTGGTCTTTCTCATATATTTTTAGGAGGTCAAAAAGTTTTGTTCGTCGCCGAAAGGAGCCGAGTCGCCGATCCGAGTTGCGACCCAGAACGCTTTCCCTTTTTGATATAGTCTATGAAGAGATCTGCCGAGGCTCTCAGAGCATTCTTGGATTTGCCGTTTAATATTTTTTTATTTTACTGTCAACTATAAGAATCGCATCGTGTAAGAATGAAGCCTGTTTCACTTAGTGTACAGATAGATGGCCACAATCAGACCATACAGCCCCAGGACTTCGGCAAAGATCAGAATCAGAATCATGCCAACAAACAGGCGCGGCTGCTGGGCAGTACCTCGAACGCCGGCATCTCCGACAATCCCGATGGCAAAGCCCGCCGCCAGTCCCGAGAAGCCGACGGCGAGACCGGCGGCCAAGTGAATGTAGCCCTTGCGAATGGTGTATGTGGGCGACAAAGAGCCGGCAATGAGCACGGAGACCACCAGGCCGTAGATGGCGATGATGCCAGCCATCACCACCGGAATGATAGACTTCATGATCAGCTCCGGACGCATAACGGCCATGGCTGCGATCCCAGTGCCCGACTTGGCTGTGCCGTAAGCGGCTCCCAGAGCTGAGAAGATGATGGCGGATGCGGCTCCCATGCCGCCAAAGAAAAGCGCATACGGAGGCCTATCGGCCTCATTTACTGTGGAAGTATCGTCGGAGGACATCTTGGTTTCAATCTGTAAAGTTAACTCAGCTGAATGTTAACAAAATACAAATTGTTCCCTTACTATTCACAATGTTCCAGTCTCGATATTTAGATAGAACTGATACAGATATGTTGAAAGCAACGAACGACTTTGACATATTTATACCCGATACTCTAAATGAGTATTGGGGTATTAGATTTATGCTGAAAATGGATGTGTGTAACGTCCAGAAGGAATCGTTTCCGACCCCATAAAGTATATATATTCTTGATCAGCATCAATAGCCGAGTCGATTGAGCCCTGTCTGTCTGTCCGTCCCTTTCAGAGCCTAGTGCTCAAAGATTACAAGAGCTAGAGCAACGACGTTTTATATCCGGACTTCTGTGATATGTCACTGCTACAAGTATATTTCAAAACTTTGCCCCGCCCACTTCCGCCTCCACAAAGGGTGAAAATCTGTGGCATCTACAATTTTAAAGTTACGAGAAAACGCAAAACGCAGAGTCGTAGAGGATGATTATATGTTCTAAAGTGCAAAATCTTTGCCAGAATCACGAAAACAATTTCACTCTTTCTCGCTCTGTCTCTCTCTAACACACAGGTGTCATGGTCGGTTTTGCCAATTGCAAAATATGAGTTCAAGGATCTCAGAACCTATAAGAGCCAGAGCAACCAAATTTGGTATCCACACTCCTGTGATATCGGACCTTGACCGTTTTGTGTCAAAATTTCGGCACACCCCCTTCCGCCCCCGCAAAGGACGAAAATCTGGGGCATTCAAAAATCTCAGAGACTATTAAGGCTAGAGTAATCAAATTTGGTATCCGCACTTCTGTTAGACCTCAGTGTAAAAAGTATATCTCAAAACATCGCCCCACCCCGTTCCGCCACAACAAAGGACAAAAATCTGTTGCGTCTACAATATTGCAGATTCGAGAAAACTAAAAACGCAGAATCATAGAGAATGACCATATCTATCAGATCGCTGAATTTGGATTAGATCGGATCATTTTTATAGCAGTGGCTACGCAGCGCCCGACGTCACGCTCAGACTGATTTTCGGGTATCAGTCGGGTATAACTGTAGAGTTGCGGTCTCCGCAGCAACTCACAACGTTCCCCCTCGTTTATTGTTAGGTCTGAAATATAAATAGAAGCCTACGTATCCCTAAACTCTTCGAGTACCCGGTATACAAAATGTTATTTAGAGAATTTCTAGGATAGTTGAAACTGCACACCAAATGAAAATTAATCATTTACTACCAGATTCGACTCCAAGACTATTAGAATCGATCACACAGCACAGTGCTATACGTCAAACATATTTCGAGTAAAAAGTTTGGCATCAGAAAGCAGGAAATAAATATTGCAGTCATTCGAAACAATTCAGTCGTCGGGAACAGATATAAAATTCAACAAAAATAAAAATAATACAAATAAAAATATAAAAATGGGAAAGGAAAATAGTGAGTGAAATACAAAACTGAAAGTGAAAAGTGAAAAGTAAAAAGTACCCATGCGAATTTGTTTAATAAAATAAATTTATTCCGATTAGAATATAAACCGAATGCCGAAAAACCAACCAAACCAACCATCGAGCGGTACTTCGGCAAGCCCCTCCAAGAGCATCAAGTAAAAGGTAAGTGAAGGATTGTTTCGACCCTGGCTGTACGTTGTTTACTTTTAAGATGTACGTTTTGGGAGGAATGAGTTGCAATTTCAATGAGTTGGACCTTCCTGAGTTCTGTGTTCTGTGTTCTGTGTTCTGTGAATGTGCCATATACGGCCTCCAAATACGTTGCTCAGAATGTAGCCAAATAGCAGTAGACCCCTAGATGAATCGCGACTTTTCGTTTTTGTTTTAATTAGGTATGTTTCTATCAGAAAGCTATCTCTAGAGGGCGATATTTCGTTCGAATTTAACAAAAAAATATTTAGTATATTTTGACATTTTACTCAAAGGCATACTTGATGGTTTCCATTTCAAGTGGGTAGCAATGAAGCTTTGAAATTTAGTTAGAAAATAACCGTGACCTTGATAAATCGCGGTCCATTGAGGGTATTTTGTTTTGCTTTAGATTTGCTAGCGCAGGTCCGTGTATCGATTACTTACCATTAATTATTCCACTCTTCTTCACGAATCTTTAGCTACAGGTGCGTCTGCGGAAGGAGACAAGGTTACTCACCCTCCGTATGGAGGTCCTGCCGCCTCTGGCTTGCAGAAGCAGAAGCAGAAGCAGGAAGAGGAGCAAGGAGAATGGCAGACACAGGGGTGTCAGAAGAGGCGCGATAAGGCCGGGGAAGGCTGGGGCGGAAAGCAGCAGCAGCAGCGGCAGCAGCAGCAGCGGCAGCAGCAACTTCCACAACAGCGCGGACAACACCGCGATCCTATAGAAAAACAGAACCAGCAACAGCAGACAGTACAACGGCGTCTTCAGGGCCACAATGAACAACACCAAGGAGGCTCCCAGTGCTATGGTCCACCAAAACCGCAAGACGAACTTCCAAAATGGCCAAGAGCCCAGAACCGAGGTCTGCCTCTGCAGCCTCTGCAGAATCTGCAGAATCTGCTCCCTCAGACCCAAAAAGTGGTGCCGCCACTCCCAGCAGGCACCATGAAACGTGGAACTTTGGGAAAACCAGGTCAAGTATCTGTTAATTATCTCGAAGTTAACTTGGATAAAATGCCTGCGGTGGCCTATCAGTACGATGTGAAGATCACGTCAGTATGTCCTAAGAAGTTCTATCGTCAGGCTTTTGAGCAGTACAGAGTTGAACATTTGGGCGGTGCGATTGCCGCATATGATGGACGTGGATCGTGCTACTCAGTTGTGAAACTAAAATGCAGCCCCCAGGGCCAAGAAATGAAGGTAAGTGTTGTATATTTCGCTGAGTTTGATGTGCTTTTGAAGTGAAACTTGCCTCTTGTCCTCTTGTCCTCTTGTCGTCCAGGTAACAGATCGCCACGGCCGTACCTTGAATTACACTGTGGAGCTCAGGAAGACACAGGACTCGGAAGTCGATTTGAGCTCACTAAGAAGGTGAGTGAACCGAATTGAACGAATTGAACCGAATGTGTGCAGTTTTCCATTTTTGCAGCTACATGAAGGACAAGATTTATGATAAGCCCATGCGAGCCTTGCAGTGTCTGGAGGTTGTGTTGGCGGCTCCCTGTCATAACACCGCTAGACGCGCCGGTCGCTCCTTCTTCAAAGGGTCTGATCCCGGAAACACCTTTGATCTTAAAGACGGCTACGAAGCTCTGGTTGGGCTCTATCAAACATTCGTGCTTGGCGATCGCCCGTTTGTTAATGTGGACATATCACACAAGGCCTTTCCGAAGGCCATGTCGATCATTGACTATATAGAGCAGTATCAGAGGCAGAAAATTGACAAAAGCACAAATCTTGACTACAGGCGTTCTGATATT